TTATCACACAAAGGACAATCTACTATTAAGTATAATCAGAGCACATAAAACCTGTAACTCCTAAGTTTGGCCTCAAATTCTTATGGTAGATATAGTAACTAATCAACAACTGCTTTAATTTCTCAGAGCATAAAAAGTCCTTTATTTCTAATCATCTAGAAGGCTTTAGAAGTTTTAGTTTTTCCTTTTTCATCTAATACATTCCTTTATAACATGCAAAGGCATTCAGTCAACAATTTTTTAAAAAGATTCATTTATTTGAGAGAGAGAGACTGGGCGGGGGGCAGGGGGCAAAGGAAGAGGGAGAGAGAAGCTTAAGCTGACTCCACTCGAGCGTGAAGCCCAACGTGGGGCTCAATCCCACAACCCTGAAATCACGACCTGAGCCAAAACCAAGAGTTGGATGCTCAACCAATTGCGCCATCCAGGCGCCCCTCAGTCAACAATTTTTTACCTGGCACTTACTACATGCGAGTCACTGTTAATACAGTGATGTTAGAAGTTGGCTCAAAGCAGACGGTGCTCACAGTGTGTTGGTTGGGTTGTCTCAAACTGAAAACCATATTCCTAAGTGCTATCTCAGTGTTTCTCACTTTAGCTCCTCAATTTATTCAAAGATACCAAGTTAGTCAATTTTGATCAAAGCACTACCATCAAAAAATGTGTCTAAGAGATCTTTTGAAATACAGCATGCAATGGAAGAAAAGCATGACTACCAGAGTGAAAGAAATCTGGATTCAAATCCTACCCCTGCCAACTTAATAGCTATTTGGACCTTAATCAAGTTACTGAACCCTTATGAGCTTCCACAAATTTTCTCTTCTCTGTGCTTTGATAATCCCAGAATGTTAAACCCAGAAGCCCAGTTTCTCCCTCTTCAATTTATTCTACACCCACCCTACAAGATAAAACAGGCCAGCTTTTAACACAGTAATGACACATATATCATTCTCATCTCCAACAAATTAAAATTCAAGTACTTAGCATGTGAAATTTTTAAATATTCAAATCATAAAGGCAGAAAAAATGAAAGTATAATCATAAATTATTAAGGTTTATATCTCCACCTTATTAATTTCTTATCATTTTATTTGAGATATTTATTCCAAAGAGATTTTGGATTGTTATGTGGGATTTTTTTTTCCTTGATAAAATCTGAGATAATTGGTTAAAAAAAACCTATTATAATGGATTCTGAATCTTTGGCATCAACTAGCCCAAACCTGTTACTTTATAAAATGAAGGAACCAGAGCATAGAATAATATACAGGATATGGAGCACCTGGGTGGCACAGTCAGTCCAGTGTCCAACTCTTAGTTTCCAATGAGGTTGTGATCTCAGGGTTGTGAGATCAGGCCCACATCAGGCTCTGCGCTCAGTGCAGTCTTCTTAAGACTCTCTCTCTCCCAGGGCGCCTGGGTGGCTCAGTTGGTTAAGTGTCTGACTTCAGCTCGGGTCATGATCTCAGGGGTCCTGGGACTGAGCCCCTGCATCGGGTCATCGCTCAGTAGGGAGTCTGCTTGTCTCTCTCCCTCTGCCCCTCCCCCATTCATGTTTTCTCTGCTTCTCTCAAATAAGTAAATCAACCTTAAAAGAAAAGAATATTCAGGATAAATAAAAGCTACATTTTAAAAGACTTTTCATGACATAGGAAATCTTCAATATACAATGTTGAATGAGAAAAAAGGATTACCACCATCTACATACAATATGAGCCTCAACGATAAAAGTAAATATAAAAGAATGGGATTATATTTATTCTCTTTATATTATTCTGAATTTCATAAATTTTCCATAATAAACATATTTATTTTATAATTTAAAATACTCAAAATATTCCATTTTAAATTAAATTGGATATTTAATTCATAAAAAGCTTTGAAGAAAATAGAAATATGTAGGCACTGGGGTGCCTGGGTGGCTCAGTCATTAAGCGTCTGCCTTCGGCTCAGGTCATGATCCCAGTATCCTGGGCTCGAGTCTCCGCGGGGAGCCTGCTTCTCCCTCTCCCACTCCCCCTGCTTGTGTTCCCTCTCTCGCTGTGTCTCTCTGTCAAATAAATAAAATCTTTTTTTTTTTAAAAGAAGTATGTAGGCACTGAGGGGTTTAGTGACTTGCTCACAAGCTCACAGCTAAATGGAAACAAAGCCAAGACAAGAACCCAGGCATCAAATCCAGGGCTCTTCTCACTGTACGACATGACCTCTAAGATATGAAAACAGTCACTATTCACCAGGAATTGCACTGGAAGAACTGGTAAAGAGTAGGAAGCCTGGGACTTCTAAATTTTGTGAGCAATAAATACCTTTTTTCCCCTTAAGCCAAAAAAAAAGAGTATTTGTTCAATATCAGTTTCTTTTAGAACTTCTGTTTTTGTCTCCTCAAATCTACTCAGATGACCTTAAACAGTGCTACAGATTACATTTTATAATACTATAACCAGATTAGAGCACAGAGATAAAGTTTGAGAACTGACAGCTCATGATAATCTCCCAGCCTCAAGAGAACAAGGACATCTATTTTGCCACATCTGTCTTTCGAACCCTACACCACATAGTACAATCCCTGGCATATAGTAGGTGCTCAATAAATGTTTATTTTATAAAGCTTAACTTTCCCCCCTCACATTAGCACTAACTACCTGACTTTTAAATATTAGAACAAACAAAAACAGTAAAATATCAGTTTCATATCTGGGGTCTACAAGCTTTTACAATATAAAGAATTTATTAAACAAATTAATGTTTATGGGGGCGCCTGGGTGGCTCAGTCGTTAGGCGTCTGCCTTCAGCTCAGGTCATGATCCCAGGGTCCTGGGATGGAGCCCCGCATCGCATCGGGCTCCCTGCTCTGCGGGGAGCCTGCTTCTCCCTCTCCCACTCCCCCTGCTTGTATTCCCTCTCTCGCTGTGTGTGTCTCTGTCAAGTAGATAAATAAAATCTTAAGAAACAAAACAAAACAAAAACCAAATTAATGTTTACAACCAAATGTAAGGGGAACATTTATGTTAGTAAAATATTTCAAGCACTATACAAATTAATTGGCAAGTTAATTACAATAATTCTTATCTATTGAAATGGGCCTTTCCTGCCTAGTTGGGAGTCACTGAATGCATTACAAAGCAATAGTTACAAAGGTAGCACAAGGGGTACCGGAGTAGGACCCAGGACTTAGTCCAAGCAGTGCTAGTAAGTAGATACATAATCGTGGGCAAATCCCTTTCTCCTCCTTTGAGTCCTAGTTAATCTATTCATAAAAAGAAAAGAGTTGAAGTACTAATCACCAGAGACCCTTCCAATCTTAATTTTTTAAAATGATTCTTATCCACAAAGGTTCTACATTCAGATTTTCTCATTGTGTCAAACTGGGTATCTTGAATGTTATAGTTTGCTATATTATTGGATAATGAAAAGTTTAGCACAATTTCTAAAAATATATAAAGATTAGTAGTAACATATATTCTTTTTACCATCTTATATTAGAGGCAACTGGAGAAAACAAGAAAAGAAATGTGAGCATCTGATAATCAGGCCTGCTTTGCTAGGTGGGCTGACGGGAACCATACTGGATTTTACAATACAGACCACTGATACATAAATGCATATGTGTCTTTACATACCACTGATACACACTTATAGTGATAATACATGTATGTGTGTGAATTTTAAAAATTGTTTCCAATTATAAAATCAATACTTGTTTATGGTAAGAAATTCAAACAGTACATTAGACCACATGTGAAGTGCAGATTAAAAAGCATCCCACCCATCTCCATCCCTCCATTAAATAGCCACTGTTCACATTTTTCTTGTGTCCTTCAAGAAATTATCTGAGCATATTCAAATATGCATATGTACGTGTGTATAAATCTTAACCTAAACTGTTGCCACCTCTTGAATGATGGGGAAAATATCTCAACCATTGGCTTCATAAACACGTTAAATACATCGAAAGTAGTATCCCAGTTGTATGGTACGAAGTGGTATACGCTTCCAAGTGTGGGGTAGGTTAAATGTTCAATTTCCTTGCTTGGAGGCTATGTGCAGCAGTTGTTCACAAAGAGCGGTAAGCAAGGAGCCAGACAAGCTGGGTTCTAATCTAAGTCGCTGAGTAGCCTTAGGCAAGCCATGAAATCTACCCGTGCCTTAGTTTCCGCTTTTGTAAAATAAGAGGATTGGACTAAGATCCCTTCCAACTCTAAAATGTTTTAGTCCTAAAATGGCCGTCTTTAAGTGTTCTCTTGAACTGGTTTTAAGAAATCCGAAGTAAAAAAAAGGGAAGAAACAAATACTATAGCAACCTCCAGTCTTACAAGAGTACATTTCTGTGCGTCATTGACTATCAAGGTCTAGTGTGACAGACCTAGTGACATAATTATATTTGAAAACAAAGTAGTAGATTATTAAAATCGGACAGGTTTTTACAAAGCTTTGACATTTTTCTTTTGGAGGTGGAGGGGGCTGTTGTTTAGTTTCAGCAATAACCACCCCCTCCTCCCGAAAACAATTAAGGGTATTATGGAGTTAAAATAATGAAACTGAAAGTTAGACTGAATTCTGTTTGACTCACAGAATATGCTGGGGAGGTGACTAGGGCAGCAAAGATTGGAAAGAATTACTAGCTAATTTCCTCTTCCGGAAGCTCTTTGGCTCCTATTCTTTCTGCTTCACAAGCCCTCGTCAGGCACACTCCAACCAGCTCCATACCTGCTACACGCATCGGATTGGGGGGTGGGGAGGGGGCGGTCCCTCTGATCATTAAAAAAAAAAGTTCTTTGACTCGATTTACCTTAGGGGTCACAGGGTTTAAGAAGGCACCCGGCCGGCCCGAAGCCACCCACCCACCCGTGCCTTCCTTCGGCTCTCCCCAGAACCTGGGCAAGGAGCCGCGGCTGGGCCACCCGCGCCGCACAGGAGCGGCCTTCCCGCCCTCCCCCGCAGCGCGGGGCCCGCGGGGAGGGGGGGGTGAAGAGGAGGAAGCCCGTACAGGCAGTACCCACCGCGCCAGGAGAGCCAGCCCGAATCGCCCGCGGCGCCCTGCGCGGTCCGGAGGGGAGGGTCCTGGAGGAGGGGCGGCCCGAGCCCCAATCTGGAAATGCCAACTCCGCTCTGCGGCCGGGCCCCAGCCTAGAAGGAAACGGAAGTCCCTTCGTCTCCCGCAGGCGCACCCACCAGCCCGCCCATCGCCCGGAGGAGCCCCGAGGCGGGGGACCGAGGTGCGTCCACGACAGGGCCTCAAACAGACAGCGGCCACCGTCGGTCAGTCTCAGGGCCCTGGCCGCGCCACGGGGGCCCCCCGCCCCCGCTAGGCTCCTTTTTACCGCCCCCGCCCGGGGGGCCAGCCTCCCGCCCTGCAAGGCCCCTCCTTCCTCCCCCTCCGCCATTTTCGAACTTACCCTTCGGGCCCTGACGTCCTTGATTAGTGCTGAGCCCTCCCGGGGCGCAGTCAAGGTTCCGCCACTTCCCTGGGTCGGAAGGGGGCAGCCAGGACAATCGAAGCTCTCGTCCCCCCCCCACCCCCCCCCCCAGCTGGAAGTCAGAACCTGACCTAGCAAATGCGCCTGCGCAGTGGGTACCTCGCAGTCCCCGCCCCCAGCTCAAGCGTTTCCTCTTTAGCCTCGAGGTGTTTTTTTCCCACGCTTTTACCTGCTGGGCTCTGGTGTTGACCAGTTGGGGAATAGAGGTAAAATTAAGGATGAAAAGAGAGCGAACAAGTTGAGTTCTCACTGTACACCAGGCACTGTGATAGGCGTATGACGTTTCTTTGTTATTTTGACACTGTAAGATAGGCACTCTCTTATTAACCCATTTTACAGAGGAATTTGAAGCCCAGAGAGGATAAGCCCCTCCACTAGCATGCAGCTAATAAATGAGGGAACTGAGGTTAGAATATCTAGAATCTGTGCCCTAGATGGGAAGGATAAAAGGAAAAAGACATTCACTTGGGACAGGAAGGGGATCGAGAGATAAAGGAAAATGAATAGGGAAAAAATCAGAAGGCAGGGAAACCGGAAATCTGGTACATAAAATGTTGATCATATCCTGGATTTATTTCAAGTATGCTGTAAGATTGTCAGACAAATGAATTTTGTTTCACAAACTCGGGCTCCCTTACATGCTAGCGTAGTGACATGAGAGGTTCTGAATGAGTGTTTCATTTCAAGAGGAAGATTGTATCACCTGCATCCTCAAGTGATGCTGCCCTTCTTAAAAAGGGAACTTGGAGGGAGGAGAGACGAGACTTCTTTTTGGTTGTTAGGCTTTTGCTAAATATTATCCCCTCCGATCCTCTTTTACTGTCATAGCTCTGAGAATCTCACATCTGACTTACTACAGTAATAGTAATTGCAGAGCAAATAGTTATTTAATTTTCACAGCAATCTTATGAAATATGTAACTACCATTATTTCCATTTTACAGATGAAGACACTGAGGTTTAGGGAGTTTAGGTGGTTTGCCCAAAGTCACACTGCTAGTACGTGTGGGAGCTGCAACAGTGATTCAAACCTAGATCTTCTGATTACAGGTGTATCTGACCATTACCTGGTCTCCTGACTGGCCTCTCTATCCCTAGGACTGGTTCCCTGCAGTACAGCCTGCACAAGGCCATGTGAGTTAAACCCTTCAACACTACTTCCCTGATAATGTTAAAACTCCTTAGCTTTATGTTCACTCTTCCCTTGGGCACCCTACTGTCAACTGAAAACCATCTTCAAAGTAGGATAGTAAATGCTTTATTCGTTGTCTTACTGGGGACTATAGCCTGGGAAAACAGTCTTTCAGATGGCTCTGAAGAACTGCTCCGAAGCTCGTTAGCTACCGGGGATTGTATATACAAAAGGGGAAAAGGGTATGCTTGCTTGCAAGCAGCTGTCCAAATACTTGTGCATCAAAAGGTATAATTTGTTACGGTTGTAAAAATTAAGGTTTAAAAGATATTAAGGTTTATTGATTTCCACATAGACACAAGAAAGACCCTTAGGTCATCTTAATACTTTATGTTTCTATCATATCTGATTGTTTATTGGTTGCCTGTCTCTGCTTAATTGGTTTTCCGGTTCTTCCTGTTTTTTGTTCTTCCTTGAGGTCACTTGAGATGGTCACAGAAGGCTGTCATCAGTCATCGCCTGCAGTTTTAGTGCACACTACCTATCTTCTAACAAAATGCAACTATGAACTGTGTGCCTGCCCATCCCCAGCTTTCCTGCGTTCCATTCATTTACTCAGATGTCTCAAGGGTAGAAAGACTGCCCTTACTCAAAGCCTTCTCTGATTCCTTTAGCTGAAGGTCATCTCTTCTTCCTCCTCTGAACTCTCTTGACACTTGAATTTTTGTTTTTGGTTTTGTTAGCACCTTTTCAAAATTGTAATTAACTGTATGTAACATAGGGGCGTCTGGCTGGCTCAGTCAGTGGAGCATGCAACTCTTGATCTCAGGTTGTGAATTCCAGCCCCATGTTGGGCAAAGAGATCACTTTTAAAAAAGTATATTATGGAAAATTTACCATTTTACCCATTTTTAAGTATACAGATCAGTGGCATTGAGTACCTCCCGAACTTTTTCATCTCACTTGGCACTTGAATTTGTGCCTTTGTGATGGATCGTAGGGCTTTCTGCCATGTAATATAGCTGTTTGTGTACATGTCTTATCTCACCTATATCTTAAGTTCATTTATGGTAAGATCTATTTCTAACTCATTTTTGTAATTTCTCCAAAACTCTTGGAGTCATCTTTAATCCACCCCCCACTCTCCTATCCCACATCCAATTCATCAGCAAATCCTGTCCATCTCAATTTTCAAAAATAGATCCAGAATCCCACCAATTCTCATTGACACCATTATGACCCTGGTCTGTCTCTCTTTTGCACTTCAGCTTCCTCGCTGGTCTTCCAGCTTACATCCTTGCCCCTCTCCAGTCTGTTCACACAAGTACCCAGAGCTGTCCTAATAAGTCAGCTCATTGTCATTTATCTGTTCAAATCCCTTCAATGGCTCTCCATTCTCACTCAGGGTAAAAGCTACAGATGTGTAATGACCTACAAAGGCTGTTGTAGCCAGCTACTAGTATGATCTCTAAGGATCTTTGCCTCTTGCTCTTCATGCCCTTGGCTAGTTGTCTTCTACAGTGAACTAGAACTGACCTGTGTAAACTAATAGAATACTGTGGAAGTGATGGCATATGATTTAAAAGCCTAGGTCAGGGGCGCCTGGGTGGCTCAGTCGTTAAGCGTCTGCCTTCGGCTCAGGTCATGATCCCAGGGTCCTGGGATCGAGCCCCGCATAGGGCTCCCTGCTTGGCCGGAAGCCTGCTTCTCCCTCTCCCACTCCCCCTGCTTGTGTTCCCTCTCTCGCTGTGTCTCTCTCTGTCAAATAAATAAATAAAATCTTTAAATAAATAAATAAAGCCTAGGTCATAAAAGGCATTGTGGTCTCTGCCTCCCTCTCTCTTGGATTGGTTGCTCTGTAGGAAGCCAGCTGTTACGTCATGAGGATACTCAAACAGCATGTAGAGAGGGCCACGCGGGGAAAACCTGAGTCCTCTCCTTCTTCGCATCTCCTCCTCCCCCACCACCAGCAAACACCAACTTGTCAACCACATGAGTGAGCCACCTTGGAAGAGGATTCTTCAGGCCCAGACTTCCGATGACTGCAACCTCTTGAAACCCAAAGCTAGAACCACCCAGCCAAACCACTCTTAAATTCCTGTGTATTGCTGTTTTAATAGCTAAATTTTATTTATTTATTTTTATTTTTTTTACATAATCTCCACGCCCAACGTGGGGCTCAAACTCATGACCCCAAGATCAAGAGTCCCATGTTCCACCGACTGAGCCAGTCAGGTACCCCTTAAATAGCTAAATTTTAGGGCAATTTGTTACCCAACAGTAGTTAACTAATGCAAAGGCTCTACACAGTCAGGGGATTGTATATACAAAAGGGGAACTTGAACCTTTATGTCTTCATCTCCTATTCTTTCGCCTTGTTCCTTTAGCTTTCCTGCCTCAGGGCCTTTGGACTTGCTGTTCACTCTGCCTGGAACACTTTCCCCAGATATCTCCATGGCTTATCCTTCAAGTCTCTGCTTAATTGTAAACTTCTCAAAAAAAAAAAAATTGTCACCTTCTCAGTAAGGCCTACCATGACCACCATATCTGAAATTATAACTTCTCTCGTAGCATTCTCAATCTCCCCTGCTCCACTTTTTTCCCCCCTGGCATCTATCACTTTGGAACATACTATATGGTTATTTTTTAAAAGATTTTATTTATTTGAGAGAGAGAGTGAGAGAGAAAACTAATGGTGGGCAGGGGCAGAGGGAGAGGGAGAAGCAGACTCCCTGCTAAACGGGGAGCCCGAAGTAGGGCCCGATCCCAGGACCCTGGGATCATGACCTGAGCCGAAGGCAGACACTTAACCGACTGAGCCACCCAGGCGCCCCAATTATTTTCTTTATCGTGTTTCTTTATTGTATGTCTGCTACCAACCCCTGCTAGACTATAAGCTCCAAGAGGACAGGAATTTTTATTTTGTTCACTGACCTAGCCCAGGTACTTCTTAGAACAGTGTCTGGCACAGGGTAGGTGCTCAGAAGATATTTGTTGAATGAGTGAATAAAAATTTCATAAACACGCCAGACCCTTGGTAAATATTTGTTAGATGAATTATCAGTTGGGAGATGTGAACAGCAAAGGCAGATATAGCTGGGGTATGGTGTTTAGGTTTTATATGAAGGGACACAAGAGGTGTGATGTTAGAAAAATACAATCTATAGAGAGGTCACTCTTGTCTGTAAAAGGATGTTTTGTTGTAATTGTTTTTGGTCGAGGAGAAGGAATATTTAGAGAGGAAAAGAACAAAGGTATATTAGCTTGAACCGTATGAAATTGCTGATGTTAAACCATTGCCAAATACTCCAAACAGCAGCTTAATATGGAGAAAGGAAAATAGCATAAAGACGCAGCAGAAATGAGAAAGAGATGGAATCAAGCATGAGTAGTGGCGTTAACCTTGAATAGGAAAAAGGATACATCCTTAGAGGCTAAAAGTGATGAGATGTAGATAAGTAGTGAAGAATCTTGAGGGTAGTCACCACACCTCAGTGGCAGCTGGATTCCGTGGAAATTAACATGTGTAGTTTATCTGCTGAGAGGAACAGCCAAGGTTTAGCACTAAACACTTTTCGCAAATGCAGTTGTAATTGGAAGCCCAACTAAATCAAGAGCAGAGTGTTTTGAGTGAAGGAAGGTGGGGTGAGCCCTGACTTCCAGGCATTGCCCCCAGAGCTATGTACCTTCTGGCAGGAAGGAGTACACACCTGCATAGGATTACTCTTGACTCATCACCAGAGAACAGCCTCTGTGAAGGTCATTCATACTGAACAGTGTCTTTCAGCAGCACCTGCCCCTCAGTCTCCTGACCTGCTCAGGTGTCTTGATCACTAACCTCTCCCTCCCTCCTTGCTGCCAGAAAGACTACAACTGTAATTTCCTCTCTTTTGAGCGG